GCTGGTTTTTTCCTTATTTTTCTAAAACAAAGACCCATGATGGGAATCTTTTTCTTTCTGTGTATACATTTACAGCAAAAATCTCATGCATCGCTGATTGCAGTGTTTCTTACCTGACACATGGCAGAATGGGTTTCACATCTCCACCTCCATGCATAGGTGGGGGTGGAGGTGGCTCATGTGGTCTTACTAATACACGTTCCTCTGCCCTACTCAGTAGTTCTGTCATCTGGCTGTATGGCAACGCAGAAAGGGAATAAGGTCCATCCATGTGTTCCACATATGCCTGAGGTCTGAATAAAAACAAATCCCATATCAAAGCCCAGGTCATGTTAATTAATTACATTTCTTTCTTTCTCCTTTACTTTCATTCTTTAAACATCTCAAAGAAATTAGCAAAAATCATTGAGTTGCTTCAATATGAACAGAGTAAGAGAAATAGCTATAGTATGAAATGGTCAGTAGTATTTGGCATATCATTTTGCTAAACTTTGCCAAAAGAAAAAAAGTACATTATGACATGTTCAATGTTTCTACTGCCAAATACATTGCAATGATGATTCTGCAGCTCTGAAACAGCAATGGCAAAAGAAGGACAAAAGAACAGATACTAGAGGAATTGAGAAGGAGCTGATCAACAGAAGAGGAATTACAGAGTCAGCAGATGGTGTAGGAAGGTCCAGTGGGCCCATCTGAGGCATGGGTAGGCAAGGAGCAACCCATTTGGACCTAGGAGAGGCTCACCCAAAAGAGGACCCGGTGAAACCACCAACAGGGAAAGATGATAGGGTTTGGTGAAAGTGGAGCTTGAAAAGCCATAGACTGAATCAGAGGAGACATGTGAAGAAAAACTAGTCAGTTATGAAGAGCTGTCGAACTGGGTTTGGCACGTGGCAAAGCTCTTTTAATACTGTGTCTGTGGGATAAGACAATTTAAATGATGGCCTAAAATTCCATTTTAAACCTGGAAAAAACTTTAAGTATCTTTTCCAGAAAGTGACATCATTACGTTTGGTATAGCGGTTAAGTGCGCGGACTCTAATCTGGGAGAACCGGGTTTGATTCCCCACTCCTCCACTTGCACCTGGCTGGATGACCTTGGGCAGGGCTATTTTTGGGCAGGAACGCACAGGAACAGAGTTCCGGCTGGCTCCTGAGTTGGCCACACCCAGCAGGAACTCATTAGCATAATAGGCCACACCCAACAGCAGAAACTCATTAGGATTGGCTACATTAGGGGTGTGTGGCCTAACATACAAAGGGTTCCTGCTACAAAAAAAGCCCTGGGTTTTGACAACAAACAAGGTAAACAGAATAAGAAGCAAAAGGTGGGTGTGGCTGGATGACCACAGTTCTGGTAACGTGGGGTGTGGCCTAATATGCTAATGAGCTGCTCTGTCAGGGGTGTGGCATAATATGCTAATGAGTTTCTGCTGTTGGGTGTGGCATATTATGCTAATGAGTTCCTGCTGGGCTTTTTCAACAAAAAAAGCCCTGACCTTGGGCAAGCCATAGCTCTGGCACAGCTGTTCTTGAAAAAAAGAGCAGTTTCTGTCAAGAGCTCTCTCAGCCCCACCTACCTCACAGGGTACCTGTTGTGGGGAGGGGAAGGGAAAGGAGTTTGTAAGCCGCTCTGAGACACCTTTGGGTAGTGAAGGACGGGGTATAAATGCAATCTCTTCTCTTCTTCTTCTTATAATTGTGATATAAAAACAGTACCTTTAGGCTATGCCACATATATACAATGATTAGCTATGGAAAAAAATACAGAGCAAAAAAAGAAAAACACATTTGGAAACCTTGTCTCAAAATGCGACGCAGGGCCATTAGCAACTTCAATGTGTTTATGTAAGAGGCTCGCATCATCTTCAGCAAGTTCTGGACCCTGGGCTAGCTTCTGCCACTCTCTCCGTCTGTCATGGGGAGCCCGTGGCACTTTTTCCGGTTCATGAGGACGATCTAAATTCTTCTGCTAAAAAAGAACATAAAGACAAACCGACAAGTGAAACAGTTCTTTTCAGAAAACTACAGTGAGGTCTGCCATACTGCAAGACAAAAATCTTAAATTACAGGACAATTCAGAGTAGAGCACAGTACAATTTTGTAGCACACACACAAATACATGTTTACAATGTTCTGTGATTATTATGCTAACTGGCCATATTGAAGAGAGGGCCTTCTACAGAGTCCATAAGTAGCACAGTCTGATCTCTTCCATCTCCTGTGAGGTAAGAAGTCAAACAGGGGGGCTGGGAAGGGCTACTTCCTGAAACTCTGGAACATTGTTGCCAGTCAGTGTTGACAGCAGTGGATTAGTATAAGGCAGCTTCTTACATCTAAGAAGCATTTTAATACTTAAAATGTACAGCTACATGACAGAAAAGATCTGATTTACCCTATTGTGTTCAGATTTTCTGAATAAAAAAACATGTTTTAAGGCATAAATAACCCACAATCAAGGAGTATAATACCTTCTGCTTTCTTTTTTCTTTTCTTTTGTCTTCTGTATCTTGCAACATCTTTTCTTTCCAAAGATCAAAGAAATACGAAGGATTGGTGTAAAACTTCAAGCCCTCTTTTCCATCATCTCTAAGGTTAAAAATTTTTTAAATAGGTGACTAAATACAAGTAGTATCTATCAACATTTTCTTGGTAAACAGTCATGGTTTTCTTGGAAAGCATACAGCAGCAAACATATTGTAGGTCTTGCACCTCCAAATTAAGGAAGGAAATTTCTCCAACAGCAAAGACTGCATTAGACCAAGAGGCTGCTACAAATTCCCCAAATGACAGTGTAGCCATGATAATAATTTATTGTACATAATTTAATATTGCCTTTTTATACAGGGACAAAAGATGCATATTTCAGTTTCTAAGAAAATGAATTACAATCTACAATAAAGAAAAATTCAGGTGGGGTAGCCATGTTGTTCTGAAGCAGCAGAACAAAGTTTGAGTCCAGGGGCACCTTTAAGAGCAACAAAGTTTTATTCACGGTGTAAGCTTTCATGTGCAAAGCACACTTCTTCATGAAAGCTTACACTTTGAATCGAAGTTAGTTGATTTTAAAGGTGCCACTGGACTCAAACTTTAATCTACAATAAAGCAAGCGAGAACCAGAAGTTAATGATCAAGTGATGACAAAGTGTATTGCAAAGTGTAGGAACTAGAAGACATTTTTAAGCCACTGTACAATCTTCAAGTCTGTCTTCCCATGGGCTTATAAATCCATTCAGAATACCACTCCATATGATGCCCATTGCATCCAAGCTTTTTTTCTGGAAATCTTGGAAGAGGAACCTGAAGGACAGACAGGGCTATGAATGGTATCCCAGACAGAGCAATTATTCTTTATTTCCTCTGAAATGTAACATTATACTTTCTTCCCAGAATGACATATAAAACATAATCACAGCTGAATTCCAAGTACTTCAGACTGAAGTAGCTGCTAGGCACAGAAGCCAAGGTGGTGCTATGGTCATTCTGTGGCCATGGAAAAAAGTCCAGGGCTACTACCTGCGATTGTATATTGGCAGGGGTCATTTCGTAGAAAAAGAGCTGCAGCAGCTCATTAGCATATGGCTCATTAGCATATGCCACACCCCTGACATCACCGTTAGTGTGTCAGAAGGGGAAGCAAAAAGGGGGGGGGGAGGCATCTTCAAAAGCCTCCCCTTCCCTTCCCCAGCTGGCCTCTCTCTAGAGTCGTGTTGCAGGGGCGGCACGATCTTTCCATTGTATTCTATGGGGCCATAGAATACAATGGAAAGATCGTGCTGCCGCTGTGGCGCAACTCGAGACAGAAGGGGTCTAAACTTTAAACCCCTTTTCTTTTCGTTTCCCCCCCAGCCCACCTTGGCAGGCCGGCTGAGAAAGGGAAGGGGAGGCTTTTGAAGATGCCTCCCCCCCTTTTGCTTCCCCAGCCAGGAATCCCCCCCCGTCTCTCCGCAAAAGCGGAGAGGCTTAGGGGGAAAGGAGGGCATGTCCCACGCCTCCTCTTCCTTCTCCAGCCAGCACGCTGTGGTTGCAGGGCACCTGGATGGAGGAGCTCTGGCAGGGAAGCCAGGGATTTAAACCCCCCCCCCTGAGTCTCTCCGCAAAAGCAAAGAGGCTCAGGGGGAAAGGAGGGCATGTCTGCCTCCATGTGCTCCCTGTCTCCAGCCAACCTGGCAAAGCGGGCTGGCTGGAAACAGGGAGGGCACAGAGGCAGTCATGCCTGGTTTCCCTGCCCCAGCTTCTCTATGCTGCGGGGCACCTAGAGGAGCTCAGACAGGGAACCCAGGGATTTAACCCCCCCCAGTTTAACCCCCCCCCATGGTGGGCTGGCTGGAAATGGGGAGGGCATGGAGGCAGTCATGCCTGGCTTCCCTGCCCCAGCTTCTCTATTCTGTAAAAAGCTGCAGCACAAGAAATGGGAAAACCAGGAACATGGCTGAAAGGTAAAGATTTGTGTTCTCTGATTGTATGGCATGTTGGCAAGAGAGACAGGAATAGGTCTGTTCCAAACCACACCATCTATTATGAAGTGATAGATTACAGTTGTGGTGAGGAAAATGCACTCTGCATATTCTCAAAGTCACTTTTGTACAATTATTCTAGGACTGAGATCTGGACTGCATTCTAGCATAAATAAAACACGGGAAAGGATGGAATTCTCTTTGTAGTTGGGATTGAGTCCCGACACTGGGATTCAGGGGCTTGCCTTGCAATGGCTTGTCTCCTTTCTCCAAGGTCGGGGACAGAGGGTGGCGTTATGGGATCAGACGTCTCAGAGGCATCCACTGACCTGCAGGGTTTCCCAAGGGGCAGTGCTATCTCCAATGTTGTTTAACATCGACATGCGCCCTCTTGCCCAGATTGCCTGGAGGCACAAGCTAGAGTGTCACCAATACGCTGATGACACCCAGCTATATCTGCTGTTGGGCGGTCAGTCCAACTCTACCCCAGGTGACCTGGATCGGGCACTTCAGGACGTGGCAGGCTGGCTTAGAGTGAGCCACTTGAAATTGAATCCGATGAAGACGGAGGACCTGTGCCTGAGTCGGAGTGGGTCGGGGGTATGGATCCCACTACTGACCGTCAATGGGGTGCCGTTGGTGCCAACGCCAAGGGTCAGGAGTTTAGGAGTGCTCCTGGATGCTGCTTTAACAATGAAGGCCCAAGTAGCAGCCACTGCCAAGGCAGCCTTTTACCACCTACGGCTGATTAGGCAGCTGGTTCCCTTCCTCGAACGCAATGACCTGGCAACGGTGATCCATGCTATGGTCACCTCGAGAATGGACTACTGCAACACTCTCTACATGGGGCAGCTAGTGCAAAATGTGGCAGTCAAGCTGCTGATGGGTCTCTCTATACGAGAGCACATCCGGCCTGTGCTGAAGGCACTGGCTGCTAATAGCATACCGGATTCGCTTCAAGGTGCTGGTTTTGACCTTTAAAGCCCTATATCGTCAGGGGCCTGCCTACTTGAGGGACTGCCTTTCCCCATATGTCCCCCAGAGAGCACTGAGGTCAGGGTCGCAAAATCGCCTGACTCTCCCTGATCTGTAAGACGCCAGATTGGCCGCTACCAGAGGTAGGGCCTTTTCAGTGGCAGCTCCATAGTGGTGGAATGAGCTCCTGGAAGACATCAGGGCCTTGCAGGACCTCTTACAGTTCTGCAGGGCCTGTAAAACGGAGCTCTTCCACCAGGCCTTTGATTAGGAGCCGCCACTGAGGAATGAGCTATTAAAAACTGAACTGTTATGGCCCTCATGTTAGTGGCACTAAGAACAACTATGGATACTGGTTTAGCCACACTGGACCGCCATACAGCAATCGCCATCTGCACTTAACTGCACTTTATATGTATATTGTTTGCTATGTGAATTTTATAGTATTGCACTTATGCATCTGTGTTTTATTGTATTTTAATCTGCTGTACGCCGCCTTGAGCCTGCCTGCGCAGGAAAGGCGGGTTATAAATAAAAAATAAATAAATAAATATTTCTAGGGCTAGAAGAACAAGGTTAAAGAAAAGACATGCTACAAGACCACAAACATCCCAAAAAAAATCTTTCTGCTTACTTATAGCCTAGGAGCCAAGACCAGCCACTAGCAAAAGCCCACGTGTTTGCTCCAGTGAAGCAGACAATTACACACTTACAACAAATCTCTTAATGAAGAACAGAAGTTATCACAAGGCAGGTAGCTTGAATGTTTAAACAAATATTATCCTAGAATAACTATTTAACCTAGTGACCGCTGGAAACAAAATCCATAATACTTAAGTCACAAGGATCTGATTCTGTCACTCCTGATGGGGAATCCAGTTCTGAAATTAGACTCTTCCATTGATTAGAGCTACTTTTAGAAAGGGATTAGAACTTAACTAGAATGGAACAATCCAGGAGGGCACCTTTATAATGGAACCAGACTGTACTCCACTGCAAAGATTATTCTAGGTATCATCTTACTTTTAGTGCACTTCTACCTTTGTAATTTCACTGTACCTTGTCTAGGCAGTTGTGGTTCACATTGTTTAGTAATTCTGTAATACTAGTCCAATTGTATTGTTCACTGGATGTCTCAGCAAGAAAGGTGGGAGATAAATAATTACTCAATCATTCATTAATCATCATGAGTAAGTTTTACAAAATATAAAACACTTCATGTATTTTTTCAGACTTACCTGTAAGGTGTAAGTATGTTCAGTGGAGGAGGCTGTTCACATGTATCGTAAGTCTCTTGCAATGGAATTGGAAGAGTCTTACGGTCAAAGAGCTGCTGATCTTGAGTCGTGGAACTTCTGAAAGCTTTCCTCATTGTTATATCCTGTAATGAAACTGAAAGGAACATTAACAGTTAGATGACCAGTGTTCTACAGATGTTGTTGGGGAGGAAAAAGGACTTTGGAAGATTATTTTTCCATGGGGGAAAAATGTCCACAGAAATGGTTCTGAACTGGCTAAGACCAAGACTGAAAGAGATCTTAGGGTTACAGTGGATAGCTCAATGCAAATGTCAACCCAGTGTGCGGAAGCAGTGAAAAAGGCAAACTCTGCATTGGGGTTATTTATAGTGGATAGTGCAACAAAAAAGACAACCCAGTGTGTGACAGCAGTGAAAAAGGCAAACTCCATATTGGGGGTTGTTAGGAACGGGATTGAGACTAAAATGATAAATATCATAATACCCTTGTATAGAGCCATGGTGTGGCCCTATTTGGAATACTGTGTACTGTTCTGGTCTCTGTGTATCTAAAAGAATAATGCAGAGCTGGAGAAAGTACAGAAGATGGCAACCAAGATGATCAAGGGGTTAGGGGGTTAGATTCATGGAGGATAGGTCCATCAATGACTACTAGCCATGGCTAGTAAAGAGAACCTCCACATTCAGAGACAGTAAACTGCTGAAACCCAATGCTAGGAGGCAACATCAAGGGAAGGCTTTGGCCTCTCTACCCTGTTTTTGGCCCTCCAGGGTAACTGGTTGGCTGCTGTGTAAAACAGGATGTTGGACCAGTGGATGGACTACTGGTCTGATCCTGCAGGACTCTTCTTAAGAATCTTACAGTTATCCTAATTTACTTAAAACAATAAAGAAAAATTATGAAATAAAAAATGGAAAATGCTATGAGCTTCAGGATTTAAATATTGATATACAGATTTCAAATAACAGCAATGGCCATCACTTCTGTTAACAAGAACAGCGAGCCTGAAGCCAATGCACTTCAATTCCAGTTAAAGCATGCTTTACAGCAGTTTCTATTGGGCAATAATCTCAGGTTTGCAAAGTAGCCTTGACTGCCTAGTATAGTAAATTTATGCAATATTTTATTTTATATTAGCACGTAAGATCCAGTCTCTTTTAGGCATTCTGCTACACAATTCTCTACTCTACGGCGGAACAAAAAGATTTCTTTGTGCAGAGAACTCAGCTGTGGAATGTCTTCTGTGGGACCCTGGGACACTTTTTGTTCTGTTATCAGATATATTCTTTACACGACTAGTGCATTTACAAACTATTTTTGGATTATTTTTACTGTACTTAGTATCTGTTTTTGAGATACCGTCCCTCTGAAAGCCTTCTTAACTTACAGTGCAATCCTTTTCAGAGTTACTCCAGTCTAAGCAAATTTATTTAAATTGTCTCAGGCTGGGCTAACTCTGCATAGGATTGCATTGTAGATGCTCAAAAACATTCTTGAAAACTCTGTAATACTATTAGCCACAGAAAAGACTGAAATAATATACTGGATAACAGCATTCCTCTACTACAATACAATATTGCCTATCTTAAAATAGCTACATTGGCTGCCAGTGGGTTTCCAAGTATAATTTAAAGTGCTGGTTATGAACTTTAAAAGCCCTTCACAGTCTGGGATCCATCTATCTAAAAGCTGTCTCCTTCATATGTCTCTGTACTCCAATTATGGATCTCAGGTTGTCACCTACGGCTCCCCCACTTAAGGAAGCCAGCCTGGCTAGAAGCCAAGCTTTTTCTGTCACAGCTATCACCCCTGAGGAAGTGAGGGAGGTGTCGTTTTGAGGTTTTTAGGAGGCACCAGAAGGCCGTTTTATTCATTAGGGCTTTTAATGAGGTGTAGACTGCAAGCATTTGGGGGGGGAGGGGCTATTTGAGGGTTTTTAGCAAAGGTGGCATATAAATAATACAGTGGCATAATCAATTTTCATTCAATTCTGAGACCTCTGTACATTTCATATACACTTCACTATGGTGATCTGTAACATATCACAATCAGAACAGTTCCCACAGTAACTGTTCAGACTATATTTTACAGATCCCCCGAAAAAGCATATGCAAAATATGCAGGGGTCTCAGGGTTGAATGAAAATTAATTATCCCACTGTGTGCTCGTGCTCTCTCCCCCCACTGAGCTATCTCTCCCCCTCCCTCCTGCATTGTTTTCACCGCTGGAAACAAATGCAGGGCAGCCCGTTGGTCCCTTTCTTGGGCTCAACAGCAGGGGAGGGAAGCCTGAAGTCCCTCTTTCCCCCTCACCACTGTTTGGAGATACAAGTAGCAACTGAGCAGTTTTTAAAGGTTCGTCCCCACATGAGTGTGTGACTGAGCTTTACTATCAAATATATTAGAGCAGCATTAGCATGCAGAAAAGCGCCAGAGCTTGGACAGAGGCTAACATGTGTGGTATCTGCATCAATTTTAGCCTCATTTCTCCTGGGCAGCCTAGTAGACCAGGTCCCCTATGGGGAGTCAGAATAAATACTGGGGTGCATGGGGTCAAGTTCTTCATCCTTCTGGCTTGATTTCTTGCTCTTGGGATATGGTTCCAGCTCCTCCTGTTGGTAGTGGCAACATTCCTTTGCATCCTCACATTCTACTTTCTCATACAAGTGCTTTGTTTTTTCTTTGCCATGAAAATTGCTCTTCAGTTTCTTGGATACTTGAACAATCATAGACCTGGGATCACTGAGTGACAACTATGAAACCAGATCCATCTCTACGTTCCAGTTGTGAGGGAAGCTGTAATTAGGAACAACTACTTTGTTCTAGTTTGGTGACCAGTTCTCAGTTTTAGTGGTTTCATATAAACCATGTGGTTTGTTCTAGTTTGGTGACCAGTTCTCAGTTTTAGTGGCTTCATATAAACCATGTGGTCTTCATCTTAATTTTCTGGAATTATTTCTTCCTCTGACTCATGCTTGATGCACTCACATAGAGAGGCAGGATTGAAGTGCCACCAGCAGTGGCATCAGGAACAACACAAACTGGGCCAGATGGACAAAAATCTTCTCCACATGGGCTTCCCTAATTCAACTGAGGCTCCCAAGCCTTTGGGGGGGGGGGGTTTGTCCTTCAATTTCTATACCGACTGCGCCGTCTAGTATCTCCATTCACTTCATAGAATTCTCAACAATGTCCCCTTCCTGCCTGGCTTCCCAATGCTTCATCTGGATCTTTTTTGGTAGAAGATCAAAAATGGTGCCTTTTGCTGCCTATCATAACAGCACTTTTTCTTGTTTCCTTTTCTAGCATTTCTCCAGGATTTCGTTACAAAACATGGCCATGGATTCAGCTACCTACACCTTAATAGTCCTATTTTCTTGTCCATTTAATTTGCAAATTAAACTATCTTCCACAGAAGTATTTCACACACATAAGATAATTCACAGATCTAGAACTTTCATCCTGTTCATGCTAAAATCTCTTTCAATTTTCCATCTCATAATGGGTGACAAGACAATAACTAATGAAAACAATCAGAACACTCCCTAATATTTTACCTCCACATTAATTAGATATACCAATAGTTGCTATGCTACAAAGAACTCTAACGCATTATTAGAGCACAAAGATTTTTACCCTGCCTTTCTGCCGCCATAGGGACATCAAAGTGGCTAACAAAACATACAAACTGAAGTCTTATCTTAAAAGCTATTAAAACCAACTTCCCATAGGTCTTGCATATGCCCAAATGTCTTGTTTACTCCCCAGATGTCTTACTCTGCCTTTCTGCCAACAGGAGATAGAGCCAACAGCCTGAAAAAGCTGCTACCAATCTGAAAATGCAGTGCTAGAGGAACCCATTGGTCTGACATCATATTCATTTCTGAATTTCTCAGCTTCCCCCTAAACAGATGTTTCTTGCCACTACAGAGGCAGAGAAGCCTGCAAACCTATTAAAGAAACAAGGACCTGAAAATAATACATACATCACATTCTCAGTGTTCACTGCTGTAATTCTCTCACATAATTTTTAGCAAGCTGAATCAGGACTTCCAATATTTAGGACTAGGAAAACATCACAGTTTTAATCGGTCTCTAGAGAGGTGGAACTTACCCACCACAACAATCACATAAATTAACTTGATATGATGAGGACTGAAGATGAAAATTAGCCGCAGCCTTGCAATTGGTGATAATCAGGGGTCATTTCACAGAAAAAGAGGTGCAGCAGCTCATTAGCATAACTTATTTGCATATGCCGCACACTCTGACATCACTGGAAGTGTATCAGAAGGCAACACCCACTGCTCAGCCTCCACTGGACTGTTTTGGATTGCTAGCTATTGGGGCGGGGGGAGAATGTGCAGATCTGTCCTCACAGAAGAGGGAGAGCTTGTACCTGAATAAAACTTGGTCTTAAAGGTGCCACTGGACTGTTTTGGACCGGGGGGCTGGGGGGAGCTCTGCAACTTACCTGGCTGCTTCTTGCTCTGACTGAGGGCTGCTGGGAGCAGGAGGTGGGGCTTGTTGCATGTGCCCACCCCCTGGGCTCTTTACTGCCGGAGCTCCGCTCCTGTGTGGTCCTGCAGGAAATGACCCCTGGTGATAATATATTTCCAGAGTGGTCCTTAGTGCTTTTTGCATATGTGACAAAAGTGTTCCTATCCATGGCTGAGATCCAAGGGCAAGGACTGGCAAATGTTGTTTTTTGTGTTATGAATATTTGTAATTTGGTTGAATGCACATATGGTTAAATGAAAGAACTGGCTTGTTAATGGTAATCTGAGCAATACTGAACTGTGTCTTTAAAAATTCTCTTGTATATGTCTACAGCTGCATGTTTTAAAAATTATTTTGTCAAATCACAATAAAATATTCTTTTTTAAAAAATGTGAGTGTGTGATTTTAAGCCTGATGTCAAGAGAAAGTGAACATTAATGTAGTGTCCAGTTATGAGCTGGTAGAAAAATCGGCAGCTATAGAATGAACAGGTGCCAATTTGAAACAAAACCCACACATCATGTCATCATAAAAATTAGGACTCTGGGCTTTGAAAAGGAAAACAACTAAATTCAGCTTAGTGGGGTTCACTATTCTGTTTGAGCGCTGATTAGACAGCTTCAGATCTGCTGTTAAAAGCCATTCTCTTCAGTATAAAGCTGAGTAACAAGTTTCTTTTGTAGGTTTGACAGAAGCAGACATTATAGTGCATTTTATCTAGCTCTGTGGGAAGACACCAGTGAGTGATATACTAAGGTAAGGTGCTATAAGATTCTTTGGTCTGAACTTGACTCAACAAAGCAATGCTCCCAGCATTTGCTCAAGCAATGGAAAAGCAGGGGCAGGCCACTTCTAGGGAAGAACTGACAGAGAGGGGGAGCAGGGATTTCTCCTTATTCCTTCTGTTTGGAGCCTGGATGGGAGACAAGCAAAATGGCCATATGGTGGTGGTGGGGAATAAGACAAATATGCGCGGGATCAATCTGTGAAAGAGAGTTTAGCATTCCCAGCTATGCTGCTAATCCTTTGAAAATACCTACTGTTCAGGTTTTATCATTATGAGCAAAACAGGAGATTGGGATTTCACACTTAGTTATATTACAATATAGATATTTATAAAACATCATGATTTAGGAGATAAACACCCTACAAACGTATTTAAAAATGTACACAATATGTCAAAAACTAGAACCGTAACAATCTACATTAAAAGAACATTAGAGGAAAAATTGATTGCTAAATTTTTGGGGGATCTTATATCGGAGAAGATGCTTATATATATATACCAATAGAAACCAAACCCAATACTATCCATAAGCGCATAAATGCAAAAACCATGCAGCAACTTACGTTCTTCTTCCTTTGGATCAAGTTGTGTAACACTGATGGACAAGCGGTCCACACGTTCTTGTAAGGAGTTCACTCTGAAGGAAAAACTATGTGCTTCGTTGAAAAGTTCACCAAATATATCTTCTGCATATTTACCTTCAAAAGAGAAGATAAGATGTCTAAGCCTTGGATTAGATGTATATGATTATTTTTTTTAAAAAAAATGTAACCGTCAAGTAGCAACAGATTTCAATATGCAACTCCAATTCATATACACCTTAACAAGCAGCCATTCTTTTTTTTTTTTTAAAGCCCCCTGAGGGGGGAATTTTTTATTTGCATTTCTATAAAACTACAACAGAAATTGGGGAGGGAAAATCTACAATCTATAGGAAAAAGTAAAGAAAACCTAACTAAAAACCCAAAAATGGAGGTTATACAATGCTTAAAACATAGTTATTACTCTTATACATTTGCTTTCAGACATGAAGAGTGCCCGCCAATCATCGCTTCTGTTGACAAAACCTGCTTATCTGACTGAACAGAGAGTAGTTCTAAAGCTATAACACAATAATTACAGCCCCTAAGAAAAGTTTAGCATCACCACGCTTTACTCCGGCATCTTTTAAAACCAATGTTCCCTCAGTAAGAACATCACAACACGTTTTTCTTCTTCCGTCTTCAATGTATCTTCTTTCTTCAATTATCTTTTAGTTTCTATAAGACCGGATCTGTCCATTCATGATATGAACCAAGTTCCTTTTTTCCTGAGAGATCTTTGCTTCCTTAGATCAAAAGAGTCTTTCCTTTTGTTGCAATTACAACATGCTCATTGGAGATTCTAATCTTTCTCTTAGCAAGCAGATCATATAAAGTTAGGGTAGCGAACCCTTTACTCCAAGGAAGCCACTTTTCGATTAGCTTGCCAGTCCAGCCACAAAAAACTAAACTTAGAATCTTCTTGCCATTCATATATCTTTATGATCCACATACCGTCCCTTTAAAAGTGTAGCTGCTTTTAGTACAGATCCAGATCGCTTCTCACTTTAGCCACCAGAGGGCCCATGATTCACTTTAAAGACAGTCTGTGGTTAGGTCACAACCTAACTTTCCGCTGTCTCCTTTCTGAAGAAAACATTGGTCCCGCCTCCCTCTTCGCCTCTCGTCGCCATCTTTTGGGGATGTTTACATCAGCCGAGAAAGAATGCCAAAGTCTCTAAGGTCTGTTTAAACGCTTCGCTTTCTTTCAGAAAAACTCTCTGCTACAGTCCATCGCCACAGTTTGATCAGTCCCTCCCACCTTGCTTTCGCATTTGCTTAAAACGTCAGGAGATAGGGCGTCCCCTCCCCCCCTCGTTTGTACGCTTGTAGTGGAGGGACTTCACTTCTAGGCTTTAGTGTCTCGTTTCAACGACAACTCACTCATCAATCCTTGAATCGATCCAGTCAGGTCCTAAAACGGCCCCTGGGATCATGCCAGGCAGAGAAAATTGCTAAACCTCCAAATGCTTGTTCCGGTGGTCGCTTCTAGTCCAGTACTGGGAATCAGGGTAGGACCTTCAGGGCAGAGAGTAGCCCCCCCTGTACCAGCTACCAACCAGAGGTAGGGCTCTCCAAAGCCCCCTGGCTATAAGCCCATTGCCTATGGGCTTCATGGGGGAGTGTGCACCATCACACTTCCTCCTAATCCCCGATTCATGGCACACGGCTCTCAGAGGAACACAGAGACGCCGCCATCGTTCAAAGCACCAAAGACCGGAAGCCAACAAGCAGCCATTCTGTCACCCATCACTGGAGACATTTAATAGGTAAGGCTACACAGGAAACCTGTGTTAGAATCTGAACATATTAATTTGTTCTGGATTTTTATACCCTGCTTTTCTCCACAATAGGGACTCAAAGCAGCTCACATCAGTTCCTTCTTCTCCATTTTATCCTCAAAACAACCCTGTAAAGTTGGTGAGGCTGAGAGAGAGTGAATGGTCAAAAGCCACCCAGTGAGTTTCCATGGCACACTGGGGATTCAAGATTGTAGGTTTGGTTGGCATGCATATTTATGGTATGATAAGATAAAAATGGATAGCTTTTTTAAACTTCACTTGGTAAGAAAAGCACTGTTTGTGGTATGGATAAGATATAAAAAATATTTTAGGGATGTAAGACCATTGTGGATTGTGCCAGTAGAAGTACTAACATCGTACTCAAGACAGCGAGACAAGGATTGGTTGCCATACAGAGACTTAATTAAAAAAGAGGGAACAGAATGGGTAATGAAAAAGCAGAATGAAATTCAGTATGAATATGAATGGTTGAAATATATGCAGATTTATGATCTCTTTAGATCAGATAAGAAAAATTATGGTTTTAGAGAAGAAAAAAATGAAATGGAAAATATTTGGGGAAGTAGAGAGGGAAAAAATATCTCTAAAATGTATAAACTGTTGTTGAAATGGTATACTGAAGATGAAATTGTTAAAGAGCAAATGATAAAGTGGGCAATAAATATGAATAGGGAGGTGACTATTGAAACTTGGGAATATTTGTGGAAAAATTCTATTAAGATATCGGCTTGTACCAATGTCAGAGAGAACTGCTTTAAAATGATGTACAGGTGGTACATGACTCCGAAGAAAATTGCAAATATGAACCAGAATATGTCAAACAAATGTTGGAAATGCAAGAGTCATGAGGGCTCATTTTATCATATGTGGTGGACTTGTGAAAAAGCTGTAGACTTCTGGACAAAAGTCCACAATGAAATGCAAAAAATATTGAAATGCTCTTTTAAAAAAGCACCCGAAATTCTGCTTTTGGGTTTGAAAATAGATGAAGTGAACACGACTAAAAAGACTTTACTTTGGTACTTAATAACAACTGCGAGAATGTTGTTTGCACAATTTTGGAAAACAGAGAAAGTACAAGAGATTGAAGATTGGATACAAAAAGTTCTGTTCATGACTGAAATGGACAAAATTACAAAAAAATTGAACGGCAAAGAAGATGAGGTATTTTTTGAAGAATGGAATGACTTTAAAATTTATCTGGAGAAGAACTGGGATGTGAAACAAAATTTAATGTGTTTAGATCAATATTAGGTTAAATGATGTTATCCTAAATCTGTAATGATAAGAAAAATGATATAATTGATGATATATAGTAATGTGGAGGGTAAGGGGGAAACATTGCGGGAAGCCACAGGAGGGAGGGGAGGAAATGGGTATGGGTGAACAATGGAAAATTGGAAATGGTTAAATGTAAAACTTGTATGGAAAATAATAAAAAATTGTTTACCAAAAAAAAAAGATCCTAGTGTGATACTCTAAACCACTCCACTGTACTGGCTCCCCTTGCTCGGATCTAGAAAAGTATGAAATAGCTTCTGCTTCCATGTGGGGGCTTGTCAGAACCCAGCAAGGTGTGAGAGGCTGCTCCTAGATAGCCAAATTCCATTCACTGTATAGATACAGAAACCCTTTATATATACACAAATACATTTTACACAAACCTGAGCCCTACCAAGGAATGACAGTTGCATATAGTATGGCTAGGTTTACTAGATTCTATTGTGGTGCACCCTATTTTAAACTGAATTTTGTGAAAATTATATGCTATTTGAAAGTATGTTTCCCCTCTTAGAAAACCAGTATTCCTTTTGGAAAAGGTAGAAAAAGCTATCAACACACTCTTCATCTGAGCCTGGGACGAACTCATTCATGGAAGATGTTGGATAATTATAATAGCAAGTTCCCCAAAGGCAGCAAGGCCAAACAGCAGAGACTTAAATGAGGGTATCACAGAAGGAGAAGGTAGTAGTGATACCGGTGAACAAAAAACTCAAGATACTTCAACTGTTGCTTATGCAGCTCTGCAAAATGCCATGTACAGTAATAACAAGGAGCAACAGGAAGATCATGCATCTCCTGGAAATACTTCACTATTATGTGCATTTGAATAATTAGTATATTGAAAATTCAATGCAGAAAATAAAAACTTATTAAATCATGAGTTCATGTATAGAATTACAACAAATATTAAAAAAAGAAAGAGCAGTCATCAGTGGCCATTACAGTAGGCCTAACTTTGCACTCTAATATGAGATGCAAAAGAAGCAAGATGAGAAACATGGTGTCAGGTTCCACAGCCAACAACTGAGTACACGCTTATCAGAAAGGTTATACTTTATTGAAGAGCTATAGATGCATTAACAAAGGCACTGTTAAGAATGGCGTTGCCTCTACAAGCATAATGGGATATAGGGTATTCGTATGCACACACCCCTTCCTTGGGCCAGTTAACCACATTCCCACACGCGGGAGAAGGAGCCCCAGGCCGTTAGAGCCAAAAGCTGGGAACCGACAGTGCTCCCATGGTTCCCTCACTCCCAGACACCACACCACCTGCACGGCTATAGATAAGCAAGTGTTACAGCAGTGAAGAAGCACAGAAGGAATGCAGTAGTACTTTGTACACAGATCACTGAAACATCTGACCCCTCCTGCTACCATGGCAGCATAGCTGACATTCTGCCCTCTCAAAAAAAGATTCTCCCGTCCACCCAGGGAGGTCTCCTGGTCATTCCAGGAAGTCGCTATGGAACTTCCGCAACAACTGAGGGGTCCGAATATCCCCTACTTCCACCCACTTGAGGTGCTGGGGTCTGAAATCTAGGCATTCAACCAAATACAACAATTTTCCATGTTTAATCTTAGAGTCCAAAATTTTAAAAATCTCATAATGTTCCTCGCCCTCAATCAAGATAGGAGGGGGCACCAGTTTCGATGGACGCCAAGGACTGGAACCAGAATCCCGTTTCAGGAGGCTGAAATGAAATACAGAATGTAGTTTCCTCAAGTTTTTAGGTAGATCTAAGTCCACAGCTACATCATTGATTACTCTTTTTACCTTGAAAGGACCAAGGTATTTTCAACCCAGTTTCCAGCTAGGGCGCAAAACCTGAATGTTTTTTGTAGACACATAGATGGAGTCCCCAGGCTGCAGAGCCCATCCCTCCACCCTTCTCTTGTCAGCCTGACTCTTGTACGCCTCCTTGGCTGCATTCAAAGTCTTGCAAAGGAGCGGCCATGACTCCTTTAACCGTTGACACCATTGAGCAGCATCCCCCCACAAGTCATTGTCCCCTTCCAGGAAAGGCACCG